TTACTGATATCCCAATTTCCAAGAGTTTCTAGCGTACGAATGTCAATCTCTCAAGGAACGTGATTCTCAGAAGGATTAAACCATTTGTACATTGATTTTGTACATCATGGTTGACATGCCTTTGCAAATTCAAAAGTGAATGGGTGGGAAATTGTTTTTTATTTTCAAACTGGCCAATTATGCCGCGACACGTGGAACAATGTAAAACTTTATGTCAACCACCATGTACATGTAGCATGGTTGTGATTTTAAATGCCGACTCTTTAAATAGCGAATATCTCATATTTAAAGAGTCTCTCTTAGAGATGCTCTGATGTACACGTAGCACAATCGAGAATATAGAAGATTTCCCATATGCTTCTCGCTCATGATCTTATGATTTGGGGGTAAGTTTGCTACTTTGATCAAATGTGAGGAATGAATACTGCAATTTACCTTTAGATGAAAAAATGAATTAATTACAATAACAAAATTAGATTTCCGTTGCAAACTTAAATTTTTAATAACAAAATGATTCTTGTTTGAAAATTAAAATACTTTAAACAAAATTTGTTAAAGATTGAAGTAAAACGAATACATAAGTGCCAATTAAGATTAAAAATATAACTTAAAAAAGTACAAGTTTTCCTTTCAAATTCTTCAAAAGCAAAAGAAAAAAAACAGTTTGAAAGAAAAAAAGACAGTTTAAATTGTCAAGAATTGTTGCTTCCACATCTAGCACATTATAATTTTGATAAATGAATCTTCGATAAATTAATAATATCGTTGAAGTAATACAAATTTTCGGTCACGACTCAAATCAATGTACTAAATTAATAATATCGTTGAATGCAAAAATAATAATTTTGTTTAAAATTCTTTATGTCCACGAAATTATTAAATAATAATTAATTAAATACGTGAAATTTGTTATTCATATTAATAACTTTTTACTTGAAAACTTTATTTTTTTTCAAATGTGTATCTATAGCTGCTTGCTTTTCTTCCTACTCAAATGGAGCTCAGGTTCTTCCATAATTTTTTAAGTGTGTATAAGTATATTTTATATTACATGAAAAATAATTATTCAAGGTCAGTGTTCTAAAAAGCGCGTTTAAGCGTCATCTAGACGGGAAGTGTGATGAAAACGCTTCGCCTTGAGACTAAATGGGAATTAAGTGATCAACGACAATGTTGACCGCTTAATGCTCGCCTAGGCATTCCTAGGAGACACCTAGGCACGCTTTCGCCTTGAGGCTAAACGGGAATTAAGCGGTCAACGACAATGTTTATCGCTTAATGCTCGTCTAGGCACGCCTCCGCCACCCAAATTTTAAGGGGGCCCAATTTTTTTTTTTTTAATAAAACCCATAGTCCAGACTCAGTAATCCACTATCCTTTCAAACTTCAAAAACTCCAGAGAACTAAGAAGATGGAAGAACGGGGAAAAAAAAGGACGGAGGAACGGCTCAAAACCTCTCAATTTCTCCGCACGCCGCATTGATTTGGGTATCAACCTATCAGGTATGTATAAGAAATGATCAAAATGAAATAACGGAACCCGAGAATGATGATTTTGTATCAAACGATACGGTTGACGAATTAGATGAAGAAGAAGATATTAAATTGGAGTCCGATAAAGAGTTAAATTAGATAAGATTTAAGTTACAAGTTATCTGCGTTATATAATTATGATTTTAAAACTTATCTTTATGTATGAATTATTAAGTAAATATTATATTTTATAATTTTAGATGTTTGGTATGTATTATTTGAATTATTGAATTTTTTTAACAATGATTAAAAATTTAAAATTAAAAAAATGTTTTTTTACGCCTAGACTCGTAAAACTTGAAACTTGGCCTCCACGCCTAATCATGCTTTAGGCTTTTTAGAACACCGTTTAAGGTTACGACTTGAAAGGTTTATTTTGAAGAAATAACTGGTAAAACAAGCCTATCATCTAATTATAATCATTTTCAGTAGGTGTATTCATTACCCATTGAATAATCTTTTCGTCGATAGCTATCGCATCATCGCATCATTTTCATTTAAAGAAACCAAGAGGCACTCAGCATCACAATTTTACAAATGAGTTCGATAGTTACTTAATTAGTGCATTTTGGGAGTTAATTGCATCAATAATCACTGAACTTATATTTGTGTCTTTGATTACTCACTAAAGTTTAAGATGTCGAATTTTGACCAATAAATTTATCTAAATGTTGGACGTTACTTATGACATAACATCTGTTTCAAAACCTTTAACGAAATTGGTGACATGATTGACGAAATGAACAAATGATGTCCCATCATACGTTACCAAATTGCCATGTAAGAAAGCGTCTTTCACTGCTCACTAAATTTTGAAAAATATCTTTGATTACTCACTATACTTTGAAAAAGTTTTCAATTGCTCACTAAATTTTTAGGTAATCGAATTTTCGCCATTAAATTTATGAAAATTACGCTAGCGTGTTTGTTAAAAAATGTATACTGCAAATGCAAAGGTACAAGTATAAAGTGGACAAACAAGTTCGAATTGTTGATCCCACGAAAAATGATTACTCAATTATACAATAGTTAAATTTAACTTCAACTACGAAACACGGAATAAGCCCTTGATTGGGCTCCATTAAAATCAAATTTTGGGAAAAAAAAGTATTTTGAAATAGTGATTTTTGAAGAATGTGTGGTTAATTTTTTTTTTTTT